TCATAAAATAGTGCGCAAACAAAAATTCAACAACATATTGTCTTATTCAACAAAATAAATCGAAGTTGTATTTTACAAACGAGCTACAAAAGACGCTAGACTTAAGATAAAGACCAAGACTGTTTCAAATCATTAACAATTAGACTTGTCTGTCGCTAGTGATTTTATAATTTAGATGCTGATAGAACAAGAGACATCAAGTCTTTGTTTTGATCTTAGGGAAACATACATTATCGCGCAAAATTGTTCGATCGTGCCGAATCACTGCGACGTCGAGAAAACAGAACCAAGCATCATTGGTATATTACTCCACTATAAGCAGTCCGTTGATAAAAAGGGAAAGTAAACTCTGCTATTTTCCAAAAATATGCTCGAACACAAACAGTTCAAAAACATAGCATTTACAGGATCTAACTCGTACTAAGGTGCCTCTCTAAGTCCGTTGAGAACAATCTGGACGAGCAAACGGTCGTGTTTATCTTTGCCGTAAATCCAGATAAATACAAGAAGGAATCTAGCCGAATTTTATAATGTTTCCTTCGCCAGGAGTTTAATTTGGTCACGAAAGGGATGGCCTGATGCTCTTGTAATCGTTTACCAAAAACGGCCGCCGCCAACTCGATAGCCGCTTCATTATATGTCCACATACTTTGAGCACAAGAAAAATCCAAGAGCCAGCAACCTCTAAAATAACTCAATAGAAAGGTTCTGTGAACTATAGGGAAGATTCCATCAAAGATTCCATCACTCATTGTGGAGAAGCCGTCATTAACTCTGCCATTACAACGGCCGCTGATAAGAGGACACAGTAAATGCACGTAAAAACATTCCACAGTCAAACAATTTCAAAATAACGCCAAAAAATTATTCTTTTATCACCATAGAACGATTCTTAATACAAAACTTCGCTAACTATCGAACGATGGCTGAGATTTAGACAGATAAAAACAGCCTTCCAAAATCTCCGACAGAACTTGAAAAAGACGGGCCAACTTTTTCAAGTTGGTTTTCATTGGCTCGCGCATGCGTGTGGGGTAACATAGCCCCTTTAAAGACTCGATTACCACAGTTTGACTGGTAAAATTGAATCCATTTTCCCAGAGTCTCTCCGGGTGACCGCTCGCTAACCAAAGAGCCCAAGGACTCTGGGTACGAGATTAACACTTGTTGGAATTAAAAAAGCCTTTCCAAAAAAAAATAGACCTACTCAAGAGATCAAGATTGCTTCTTAGGAGGGTCCTTCAGGATCCTTACTCCATGGACATTTTGCCTTCAGTGACTTACATTGTTGGGTTAGTCTCTGGAACGGCTGCAAGGCTCATATAATTATGTAACTTGCCTAAGAACGTGGCATCGGTAAAAGTCCTAGAATGAGTGCAATCGTCCACTTTCTTTTCCCATTATAAATCTGCCATTTTTATCTGTATTCACATGGCGTATGATGCCAGAGTTCATCTTCATCAACTTGCAGTTTTAGACCGGATGCGTTTATCGACCTCCAAATCACCATGTTGATGTGTTTCTAGAGCAACTTAATAACTGCAGAGGAACAAGTTCATTTTCTGATAACGTGAATAATATTGTCAAATTAAATTTGGCAATAATTTTTCGACAAAATGAGACGGTGAATCAGTATAAAATAATGTTCTGCAAAGCAAAGCTTGTTAGTTATGTTAATTAGGACATTTTACCAGGAATTTAATTTTCTGAATTAGCCAGATTTAGCACCACTTTTTTAACCAGCTCATAATTTTGTAACAATCGCAGGTTTGAAAACAGATGAGAGCAGAAATACTGGTGGCTCTGTGTGAAAAAATATTCCTGGGTTTTTTGTGCAAATATTTTTCAGACATGTTTTCTTCTTAACAAAGATGAAGTTGACTTTTAGTTCTGTCGACTGTGCCGTGGTTTTTGTTGTTTGCAAACTACTTTTCAGTAGCTACATGTACATACATGAGTGCTGATTGAAGGCACTAACATTTTTTTATGTTTGTGTATGCAGATTGCATTATATGTCTCAATATATCAATAAGGTACTAAAACAAACAGAGAGTTCAACTGAAAAAAGTAATTTTTCTTTTGCAGGGCATATTTCAGTGTAGAGGCTGCACAGCGTATTTTTTTTACTGAAGGCTGCACCAGAAGGTCACGAAACTTGAAGCAACATGTCAAGCTGTGATGTAAAGGAAAGGAAGGGGTATTTGGCTAATTTGATGTTGATTCTGATTCAATTATTGTACATTTAGTTTACACCATTGAACCTGTGTGCCATTATAGCTTGTTATACACATTCACCCACATAACGAAAACAATCCAGCACGAAACAACCAATCAAGAGCCTTGCGCTATCCGGTTTTCCCAATGTGGCATAGTGGTAGCTCAGTGTTTATGCAATGGTCACGCAATGGTCCTGGGAAATGTTCCTGGGCAGTGCTTAATTAGCAATGCTTCAGTTGCGAGTAATTGCTGTCCATTGCTGTCAATACTGCGCAAAGCATTGACCTACTTTTGCACAGAGTAATGCCCTGAGCAATGCTTATCACTGTCTTAATCATCAAAATTTCCACTGATTTTCGCCAGTGCTTCAGTCAATGCTTGTTATTGCTATGAACATTACTTTCACTTTAGCGTAGGTGTTTCAATCTCCTGATTGCGTGGCCTTCTACACTGCTTCAAGTATCGACAAGCAATGACTTTCTACTGCTCCGCACAGTCATGTACACAACCTCTTTGCCAAAGCTCCCAGCATTGACAAGCATATAATGTTATTTGGGACTAGTCAATTTTTCGGGTGTAACAAAACCTTTCTTCCTACCATACCTTAAAACCCCCCTTCCCTACCCCACCTTTGTCTGGCTCTGCAACTTTGATCCACCAATTGCACTCACTGAAGTAAATGCTCAAGGACTGCATAGGATGCACAAAATAATGCTCATTCCTCACTCACTAGTTTGAAACTTGTTCAAATTCCTTTGTCAGATAGGTAGCAAAATGTGTGCACTTCTCCAATCATTTAGATATGATCAGTCATTAAAACAACATCGCGACCCATACAGAGGCAAGATGAAGGAGTGCTACAGTTTTTTTTTCAATGTTTTTTTTATACCTGTTATGAGCAGCATTTGTGTGTTTTATTTAATTGGCAATAAAACTTGGATAAGATGCAAGCTAGGAGCCAGGTGCATGAAACGGGAAGACATTTTGAATTAATTTTTTTTCTGTATGTGAATGTGGAGAATCGGCTGAGGTAAAGCACAATAACAAAGATTAACTTGGGAAGGGGTTGTCTAATCAGGGTGGGAGGAAGGGGTTTTTGTTACACCTGGAAAATTAGACACTCACAAATAACATTATGTGCTTGTCGATGTTTGGTAATGCTTTTTAATTCTAATTAGCAGAGGTGTGAGACAGACGTCCATCTGCCCATCCAGACGGGCATGGGCAGACAAATTGGTCATTTGAAACATGCACACACAGACAAAAATGCCGATGACAATTAGCTGGGTGGACATGGACGGACAATAATGCTAATGGAAATATGCAGGAGGGACATGGATGGACATAGGTTATGTATTGGACGGACATGGACAGACCAGACTGCAAAATTATGTGGGAGGGTATGTGCGGAAATGTGAAATGCATGGACAGCCATAGGAGGACGAAAATATTAGACTAAATCATTTGGACGGACACAGACAGACAGTTTGAGTGTTTGGACGGACACATGCAGGTAAAACCGTCGCACACCTCTGATGCTCAAAACATTGGCAAACATGCTGTGTACTTGATGGTGCGGAGCAGTAAAAAGTCAATGCTTGGAGCAGTGTAGAAGGCAAATCAACCAGAAGATTAAGACATGAAGGCTAAAGTAATGCTTGGTGTTATCATGTCAAGCATTGACTGAGGCACAGGTTAAAATCAGTGGAAATGCTGATGCTTCAGACAGCGCTGAGCATTGCTCAGAGCTATACTCCGACCAAAATTTAGTAAATGCTTGCAATGCTCGAGACAATGCTTGGCATTGCCTGGCATTGCCTAGCATGCTGATCATTGCCCAGGACCATTGCGTGCAACAATGTGCAACCACTGCTTGACCATTTTGGGCAATCCAGCATCATCTTCCATTATTCCCCCAGTGCTTTTTAAATCTTTTATTTAAATGTTTATTCATTTTTTTCCTGGTGTTAAAATCATACAAACTCCCATTATGTACAATTATGTTTGATCACCAAACAGTGCTTATATTTTTTTACTGTGTTGACCAGTTCACGCAAAAAAGGGTGATGTCTACATATGTTAAAAACAGGCTTATACTGCCAGTCGTTTGACCACTCAGTCACTCTGGTGCCATCTTATCTAACTCTGTGTGATTGAATACATGAGTTGCTCAAATATTGATGTTCAGGGTAATTTGCTATACAATGAGTTGGGCCACCGAATTCATCTTTGCATGAGCACTTTACTATTAATTGAGAAAACAAGTACCTATTGTCCTCACTTTGACTTTCCATTTCTCTTACAGAAATGTTAGTATTCGACTGTCTCTTCGTGAACTACAACTAGAACATAATGCTGATAAGAAGCATGACTTTCTCAAGGCATGGAAACTAATTCAGGAACTGCCACCAACTAATCCGAACTCATTCTGGTCAATAGCATCATACCATGGTATGCCATTCAAAGAGCGTCAAGTTCCACTGCATGGGAATGAAAGTGAGAAGGACTCCAGTGGCACTGGTAACGATGAGAAGGAAACGTGGGGTGGCTACTGCCAACATGCCAATGTTCTCTTCCCATTTTGGCACTGATTTTATTGCCTTCGTTTAGAACAGGCACTGCAGTCAGTACTGGAAAGGGGGAAAGAACGAGTGGCATTGCACTACTGGGATGAATCAAGCGAAGATACCAAGAAGAAAGGTCTGCCCGACATCGTCACAGACAAGCATGTGATAATTGATGGGAAGCATGTGCCAAATCCCCTGTTCAAATTCGAGCTGCCCATGCCTATTAAAGATGATGTTCAAACCTCTGATTCATTTAGCAAGTTTTATGAGAAAGATACTGGCTATGAAACCTGCAGGTATCCATACTCGGGCATCCGAAATCCCGATGCTGGTAAGCAGGCCGCTTTAGATCACAATGCCAGTATCGAAGAGGAAGATGCGATACCCCTTTTACAAGAAAACGTCATCGGCTGGCTAAGTGAGGGTGTTAAACATGGAGGTGTTACCGACCAGTTTAAACGTTGCCTTGAGACACAAGATTACAATCCATTCTCAAACACGACATCTGTTAGTCCTCCATTTGCTTCAATTGAGCAGCCACATAATGATCTACATTTGGCCATAGGTGGATACACAAAACCGGTAACTAATAAAGATGGAAGCGTCAAACAGGATGCCCAGGGCAACATCATGTGGAGTGGTCCAATTACAGGAGCAAATGGTGACATGGGTGCAAACGAGGTGGCTTCGTACGACCCAGTTTTCTTCTTGCATCACTGCAACATTGATCGCATGCTTTGGGTCTGGCAGAAGAAGCATAACAAGACGGATCCGAGCACATTCACCATTGACAACAGTGATAAAGAGGACAAAGGCATCTCGAACAGCGAGCAAGGTGCTACTCCCTACCAGAGATGGGGCCAAAAGCTAAACGAGAAGACCATTCTTTACCCGTTTCAAGATGAGTACGGTGTCCCTCGAACATCCAGGGATTGCATCGACATTGTCGGGCAGCTTGGTTATGATTACTCCATTGGCTCGCTGGATCAAGAAGAGTGGCCTGAACCTGAAAAAGTAAAGATCATGTCCCTGCTACGTAAGCCAAGCACACCCTGGGAGGACATTCTTGTTAAGCTCAAAATGGAAGAGGAAGACTTAAAGAGAAGTGCCACTGCCACAGGTGTCCAACGCCTCCGACTGATATTTGACCGTACTCACCTTCCTGCAATGAAAAAGGAACCTTTTCCTGATTGTCACATCCCTCTGTTCCCAACTGGTCCTATCAGTTTTAAAATGAAGGGACTGCAGTACAATTTGAAAGATTTTATTCAGGTCAAAGATGTCAACAAGGACAAGATTTCAGGATCTTTCCTTGTGCAAGTGTTCTACAAAGCCAATGGAAAGCTCTACTATCTGGGACAGCGCGGTGTTCTGTCCAGGTGGAACAGAAGCAACTGCGCTAACTGCCAGGGACGAAGGATGGCTGACATCTCCATTCCAATCACAGGAGAGGACAGAGCTCCGTATGACCCTCAGAACCTAGTGGTGCACCTTGTGAGTAAGGACGGGCTGACCGGTAAGTACAAAAAAGAGGTGCTCGCTGGCAAAGATCTTGTTGTACCGGCAGCTGCCAGAAGTGCTTCTGGTGAGCCAAAGCCTTCACTTCGCATCGTCGGGGTTTTTACCTATGAAAACTGAAAAAAATCTTCCATATTTTTTTTGCTAGCCAACTACAGTAGATGATAGATGATATTAACATGCAGTAAAAGTTTGAATCATTTATGTATTCATCGTTATACCTGTAGCTTTTTTTTTCTTTGTAATTCTACCACCACTGCAGTATCAAAATTTTAGTAAGTGTATCATTAGCATGTAAAGCTTATAAAATTTGCCGAATAACCAGCTACACTTTTTGCGCTATTTCAATTTTGACAATATTGTTACTAATCTTAGCCTTCATGATATGGAAAACATCAAACCCTATGCTTTTAGCCTATTTTAATCATCATAAGCTTTTAGAAACTGGCTTTTTTATTATTTCTTTTTTATCCATGTGTACTTGCTCATTTTGTTTGCTTAGGAGCTTACACTATGTGACAACAAATTGTTAGTAAAATTTAAGTAAGAAGATTAACAGTATGATCATAGCAGATTTAGTCACTTTGTTGCAACAGTGAACTAATAATAAATCAATAAAAATCGACATTTCTTTTTAGCAGTTCAATCCCTCATAGGTACATATAAACGTATATAAAAAAAATGTTTTTTAAGCATGTTTTTTGTGCATTAGTAGGACAAAAGCTTTCAAGCTCAGCACACTAGCAAACCAGATACATTTATGTATATTCAGTTACTTAGTAGGTTTGTAACACATAATAACCTAACTGATTACAACATTACTCCATGGGGTCCATAAAGGCACTGGGTTCTAGTACCGGTCTATGCTGACTTTCCGTTCAAAGTCATCTTTGAGTCGATTTCAGTTGTGATGCCATCGTTGTAGAGGGTCTATTTATAGAAGGTGGTAGCGAACTTGAACAGCAAAACTCTTTTGGCAAGCCACAACAATTGTAAGTGCTTGCATGGACTAGTAGGTAGCCTCATGGCCTAATAGATATTTTACAACCTACACATTTAAAAATACGTAATAGGTTTTTTCAAAAACATTTCAACCCTACTAGGGGAGACTTTTCACAGTGAAGGTAAGGTAGAATCTGTGCCCAGCCAAGTGATTCTGTTAGCATGCATTTTTACATAATTTAGTATTCCCGCCAATGTCAATGATTTGGCTTATTTTATCAAGTGAATGTTTTATATTCGAGTGTTTGATGATTTGGCTTATTCTATTTTGTTGAGTTTTCTGATACTTAAAGTTTAAAACTGGGGTTTAATGAGGTGACCGTGCTTAAGCTCCCAAGAACGTGATCTTAAGTTAGGAAACTTATCAACATGTGATGTACCAGGCTGTTCCCAAGCAACGCGTCCCATTCCAAATGGTAGCACAAGTGCACGTGTTTGGAAAGCCCTCACAAGAAGTTTCGTGCGTTCCCAAAGTCTTCCTTTTTGTTGACTTTACAGTGGACATAATGGCGGGCCAACTTAATTATTTCTACCGCAAAAGCCGTAAACAACTTTTGTTCTCTTAACCCGAGCAGTTACTTAGGTTGCTCTGGAACCACGAGTGGCACGTAATGCTAGCACCACAGCCTGGTCATCTCTCCTAGCAATAATGGTAATGTAATTAAGTACTTTAGCCAAGTTTACGGTTTGTAAGAATCATCCTGGCCTATTTGCCAGCAAGAACTGTGGAACTGCTTGAGTTCGCTCTACGGCAAACCAGGAACACTTTAATTAGTTTGTTGAATTACTTTCTTAATTAACATGCTGTAACAATAAGCTTTTCACCGTCTGTAATCCGTTCCCGAAATGAGATCCCGTTCCGACAAGTTTGTACTGAATTGATAGCAACTCTCGCGGGCTATAAGTCAATTATTACAGGTCAGCGAACGAAGACCAGTACGCGCAGTGATTGGTATTGAAACACGTCTCGGTTGGTTTTGCATTGACTTAGGTTCGGTTAATCATTAAAGATGGAGTGAAACGTGACACGGTTAGCGGAACGCGGAATCGGCGCTAATCCGTCAAAGGATACCGACAGGTTACCACTTTTTGAATAGAACCTGCTTTTGACCAATCACGGCGTAGCTTGTAGCGTCGCGCGTTCCATTAGTAGCGTGGTTTTTAGTGTAGAGTGAGAGACGGCCAGGCGTTCAAGACCTATTAAAACCTCAGTTGAAAAGTCAAGACTGGTCTGCCAAGTTTTCCTTCAGAAGTTAATTCCCCCAAAAGAGACAATCCCGAAAAGCCCCGTAACAGATTAACAATTCTATTCAACACACTGCAGCTTATGCTGGTGTTGGAAGAAAAGTGTGAGAAGGAGTATTTCTCCTGAGCTCTCCTTGCAGTCCGAGATGAGATGCTGGTCTGTTACACTGTAAGCTCACCAAGTACCAATTGTACATCTGGGTGGTGAGAGGCACTGCGATAGTAAAGTGTCTTGCCCAAGAACAAACCAAATTAGACTGCTTGATGTGCAGTCCAGAGCACCAACCATTTGTGAGAGTTTGAATTAAAATTGAATTGAATATTGAATTTTCCAAAATAACAAATTATAGCTAAATAACCATAAGCTAAATGGTCAAAGATTGAAGTCTGATGCATGCAGTGGAAAGAAATTCATTTGGATCCCTCCCCCCACAAATGAACATTCTTCAACAAGATACCCCAGGCACTGCTAGGTTATCTCGTCACATCCATGTAACAAAAGATTCTTGAAACAGCTGATCCAGTCAACAGTGATACAACCACTTTCCTGTTCAATTCATTTTTGCCAGATTTTTGTCTTATTAATAATGGTTATAGGACTGAGTGGAGTCCAATTCATTCTGAAATCATACGAGTGATTAACAAAATTAGACGACCGCGCAGCGGGAGTCTGATTTGTTAATTACGAGTATGATTACAGACTGAATTGGACAATATGATGTCCTGTTACCAATTAATCGTAACAATTATAATTTTCCACAAAACTAAAATTTTCAATTGAAAAAGAGCCTTTAATAGTCATTTTTAAATGTCATAATAACGAATAAAAATATGGAAAATAGCTTGCAAAATGTAAGTTTCGTTAAAAACAGTGACCGGAGACTAAACCTCCACAATTTTACAAAGTCAGGCTTGTAAATTGGTTAACATAGTGATTGTAATCAATTTTCTGATTGGTGGATTTAGTGGAGAGGACTTAAAATCATTGGCTCATGTAACTGTCCGATTACAGCCAGCTGTCCAGTTAAAACTTTGCAGATTAATTAGAGCAAAATACAACAGTTTATGCACCCATGACCATAATAGAGAGATTTAGCAAAGAGGACGGCAACGGCAACGGGAACGCCACAAAACAATAGGCTTAATGACCACAAACAATCACTCTCCACGCACGTTTTAAAGTTTTGTACATTTCTTTGTCGTCCTCTGCAAAATAACAACGTCAAATGACCAATTTTTAGGTTTTTTCGAGAACATGAGCGCATGACGGTAAATCTTTGCTTCTTTTTTCTTACTTTAACGCCGTTCCTAGAAATTTTGACCCTAGGCAGTTCCTCACCATTTTCAATGTGAGACAATTTGGCATAATCACGAAAGAGTCAGAACTTGAACGAGAAGAAATATTTTGAAGTGACGTTTTCGTTGCCGTTGCCGTCCTCGTTGCTTAATCTCTCTAATGAACACTTTGAACCGTAACTTTTTAATAAGTCGGTAAAAGGTTCACATAATGAACCCATTCATCATAATGAACATTGAACTCGATTTTGGTCTTTACAACAACTGTAGAGATTGTTGTGCTCTCATTGGTCGAGAGCCGTAATCAACAAGAGTATTGAAAATGAAAATGATGTAATATGTAACGCAAGGCTCAGCAATCCCCACCATGTAGGAGAAATTGTCACAATTTGTTCTTAGAAAGGAATGGCAAATTTACACAACATGAACACTGGTGAGTTTCCAAATTTCGATACCGGTGTATGTACTGGGTGCAATTTTCGGCGAGGAGAGATTCGAAACAAAAGAAGATGCAAAGGGAAACTCTTCCTGAAAGAAACTTCACGGCTCGCAACATCCAAGATGACAGGCAAGACGACCTCAAAGAAATCACGTCGACGCCGAAGCAAAAGGTATCATGACACACAAAGAGAGTGATAAAAAACAATTTAAGGAAATATTGCCATACATCAATCACTAGCATTTAGACGTAGGAGTAAATTTATTACACAAATTAGAAAGAAAAAGAACACGTTAACGTCTATCGATTCACAAAACGTGTTAAACGCTATTTCACAATCGACATTTTCTGTAGGGGGAAGAGGGGGATAAAATTTTGGGCCAGTGGCATAAACTGGTGGGGGCGGGTAATTTTTGGATACACGCACTTTCGGGAAGGGATACATTTTTAATCTGCCTTAGTTGTATAAAAGATCACCGACCCCCACCCCAACCAACTCCAACTCCCACCCACCACCCACCAACTCCAAATGTAGAGGCTTGTAAGAATGTTAAATATCCTTCTCCTAAATAGTAATCACTCGCAGGATGCTTTTATTCTTCTGGGATTATAGCCTCTAACTTCGGCAGACTTTTGCGAGCCCTACTGCGTGATGGCAGGCGTGCAGCGCAAATGTATTTACCCGGGGGTGGGGGTACTTCCAGAAAAATTGGGTGGGGGGTGTGCGGTACGCTTCCTGGAACCCTTAAGGCCTATACACACGAGGGGTTTTGCTCCGGGAGCATGCTCCAGGGTCAATTTGCACGACTAGTACACAGAAGGGAGCGTTTTCAAGTTTGTTCAATTTGCCCCGGGAGCTTGCTCCCAAATATTTAACCGGTTTAATATTGTGGAGCATGTTGCAGGGTGGAAATTCTGCTCCCGAGGATGAATTGCACTTATGAAATCATTGGTACACTCAAGGGGTTTTCTCCTGGAGCAAAACCCCTCGTGTGTATCGGCCTTTGGCCTGTTTCAGACCAAAATCTGTGATTTTCCCAACCCAATTTCAGACCAAATCATAAAAATTACAATATCCTTGACTGTGATTGGTTTAAATAACTCCTATTTCCACTAATTCACTTGCCAAGTTTTTGAC